AGGGCACAGTGGCACAGGTCCCTGTCCCCGGGGCTGGTGAGGGGCAGGACGCCAGCAGCTCCCCAAAGGTGACATCCATTTCCTGCCACCAGGACCGCAGTGAGCTCCGGTTTGTCACCACGGGGTGAATGAAACCAGGGCTTCCCGGGCTGGCTGAGGGCCAGGGATGGGGACATTGTGGGACCGCAGGGTCAGCAAGACCCTCATCCGGCCCCAATTGTGCCCTCGTATCCCAGGAGGAGCCATCCCCAGGGACCTGCTGCCCCTCTGTGCTCGCTCTGGCTTTGTCCCTTCCTCACTGGGGAGCAAAGCAGGGCTGGGAATGGGCTCAGGGAGGGGTCTGGGCAGGGATGGGGCTCAGCCCCCCCGGGGGTGCTGGCTGTGGGCAGCATCGTGGTCACTGGGGTGGCAGGGGCAAATCCTGGGGTGGCAGGGGCAAATCCTGAGGTGTGGGCAACCAGGCAGCCTGGGCACCTCCCCAGATCCACAGGTCTGTAGATCTCCTGGTCTGAGGGCTGCAAACTGGGGGGGATGACTGAAGGGGATCCTCCCCCCAGTCAGCTGTCCCCCCTGTGAACCTGGGGTCAGACACCCCAGAACCCAGGGCTGGCCCTGAGATGGGCATCCCAAGGGATAAGGATGGCAGATAGCAGGGATGGGGATGGGGACAGGCACCCCAGCCCAGCCCCCCCTGCCTGTCCCGGGGCTGGTGCACCCCCTCACAGCTTCCTCTTGGCTTCATTGCAGAGCCAGGACTGGACCAAGAACGATGAGAAGCTCCTGCAAGCTGTGGACTACAACGATGCTGGGAAGGTGACATCTCTCCTTGTCCGCAAGGGCCTGGTCCCCACCAAGCTGGACTCAGAGGGCAAATCTGCGTAAGTGCTGCTGACCCATGTCCCCGGGACAGGGGGGACACCGGGCTGGGGACAAGGCTGGTGGCCTGGGATGTGAGTCCAACAGCCCCTGGGTCTTGCTGCAGGTTCCACCTGGCTGCCATGCGGGGGAATGTGGACTGCCTGGAAGCCATGCTGGCTCACGGCGTGGATGCCATGACCAAGGACAGCTCGGGTGAGGGGCCACGGCCACCACGTGCCCCTGGCTAATGCCATCGGCCTGCCGGGGCCACTGGTGCTCCCTGGTTGTTCCCACCCTGCTGGGAGGTGTTGAGGCTGAGGGGACAGAGGTGACAGCCACGTCTGTGGGGGCTGTAAATTGTCCCAGTTTCCTACAGGGACTCAAGCACTGATCAGTGGTGCTCTTGGTGTTCATAGAATGGTTTGGGTTGGATGGGACCTTGAAGATCATCCAGTCCCAACCCCCCTGCATGGGCAGGGACACCTCCCACCAGCCCAGGTTGCTCCAAGCCCCATCCAACCTGCCCTTCAACACTGCCAGGGATGGGGCAGCCACAGCTTCCCTGGGCAACCTGGGCCAGGCTCTCACCACCCTCACACTCCACAATTCCCTCCTCATGTCTCACCTCAATCTCCCTCTGCCACTTTTCATCCATCCCCCCTTGTCCTCTCCCTACAAGCCCTTACAGGATGTGTCTCTCATTCAGCCCTAGTCCAGCAGATCCTTCTGTTTATCTGTCACCCAACCAGTGCCCTCTGCCACAGCCCCACTGCCTGTTCCCTGACGTGTCCATCTGTCCCTCTGCCCAGGTTACACTGCCCTGCACCTGGCGTCCAGGCACGGCCACCCTCAGTGTGTCAGCAAACTGCTGCAGGTACCGGGGCTGCGCGAGGCGGGTGCTGTGCCAGCCACGTGTCCTCTGCATCTTTCAGCTCCCTTCCCTCCCCACTGGTGCTGCTCGGCAAGGTCGTTCCTACCTCTGCCTGGCACCTGCTCGGCCCTCCACCAGGCCGAGCATCCCCTGGGAACAGTCAGTCTGTCTGTCCCTTGTCCTCCTGTGACCCAGGCTCTCCCCCTCAGGCCTCCTGCCCCGTGGATGTGGTCGACAACAACGGCCGAACAGCGCTGCACCTGGCGGGTGAGTGGGTACAGTGCTGGGGAGTGGGGACAGTGCTGGGGAGTGGGGACAGTGCCCGGGAGTGGGGACAGTGGAGGGGAGTGGGGACAGTGGAGGGGAGTGGGGACATTGCAGGGGAGTGGGGACAGTGGAGGGGAGTGGGGACATTGCAGGGGAGTGGGGACAGTGGAGGGGAGTGGGGACATTGCAGGGGAGTGGGGACAGTGCCCGGGAGTGGGGACATTGTGTCCTGGTTTGAGCCAGGATGAAGCCTGAAAATTGGC